TGTCTTTGGGCCACATCTTACAGTGATGCAAGGGATCAAACCTGGGCCTTCTGCATGCAAAGCACACACACACACACACACACACACACACACACACACACACACGCCTTTTTAGTTATCTCCCCAATCTGTGACTGACCAAATTTTACTGTCTCTCTTTAACCACCAGGGAGGGTGGATGAGGGAATAAAAAGAGATTGACTTTAGAGAAACAAAAGTAGAGGAAAAGATACCAAACAATGAGGGGGTTACACATTCATAAAGGTGTTCAACATTGGAACATAAGGAGGCAGAAAGAAAGCTTGGGACTGATTCTGGACTAATGTTGACAAATAGCTTTGCTGGTTGGAATTTTATAAGATTTGGCCCATTGTTCTGTATTTTGGAATTCCAATGAGACAGAATGCGGGTAGGGGTCTCCTCAGGGAGCTGTTGAGGTTTGCGTGGGAGAGTGGGGTATGTTTCTGGGCCAGGGTTTGGTTAAAAGCATCAATTGCTCTCGACCAGATGAGTCTTTGTCAGAGCCCAATCTGCTTGGGAGTGTGTCTGGGGTCTTTTCCCAGCAGCGCCATCTGTTCACAATTGTCCTTCCATCTGACCACTAACCCTCTGTTCATAACTCCTCCGAGAACTCCCGCCACCACTTGGAGTCCACTCATTGTCTCACCTGGACAAACTGAGCCTGAGGAGAGACAAGACAGGAGAGAGGGAAGGAGCAAGGAGACCTTCCAATGTGCTGGCCTCCAGGGCCAAGATGTGCCTGGGTTGGTTCTATGCAGCCTTCACATGGAACCGGAGGGGGCGGGGGGACGGGCATGTGTCTGAGCCAGAGCCATATTGTGCCCCAGGCAGTCTGATGGCTCCACAAATAATATTGATGCCTTTTGTTTGGAAACTCTTTGTGGAGGCCTCCCACTTCCCAACAAACCATACTAAATGCTGGTTCTCCCCCAAACCGTTTTGCCTTTTGCATAGTCCTGTGGCCAACTGTGAAGACAGGCGAAGGGCCCTGAATGCTAATGAGGGGGATGGCTGGCATTCCTGAGGCACCCTGGCTCTGGGAACCCCGCCTTTGTTGCTAAGGAGCGCTGGAACTGTAGCTGAAAGGCTCTTACAGAGGGGGTGGGAGGAGAGGGAGAGAAGAAAGGCAAGCATTTGTTTTCAGAGCTTCACAGTTCTCTGGCCAGCTCCAAAGCTGTCCAATTTTTGATCCCAATTAGAATATCAAACCCCGTTATTGTTTCTCTTAATGATCTTGGGAAATTCCTTTGAAGAGTCAGCAAGCACCTAGCAAATTCTTTGGAGCAGTTGTGTTCCTGGCTTGTGTGAACATTTCATGCCATGAGTCCTGAAAACACCCTTTATCCCAGACCCCAGAGGGTGGTGATATATCTAGGAGAACTAGAGCAAGGTGAAAGGCTGCAGGACCTTCCCAATAGGGTCTCCATTCAGCAGAGCTTTGTCAGGTGCCTACTTGATGGTGAATCTGCTCTGGGCTGAGGACCAAGATGAAGATGTTGGTCCTTGGCACAGAGTAATCGTCAGACACAGGGAGAAGATAGACAACACATATTCAAGGAAATTTCATGTGATTTTTTGTTTTTTCCAGAACTTGCAGAACCATGAGACCAGAAGTTAGTTGAACATGGAACACTCCTTGGCTCAGTGCCTCAATAGCCTTAAGATCTCAGACAAGAATAGTTCCTGCCTAAGCCTCAGTTTCTCACCTTCCTAAGGGCAGTGTCCAAGCCCTTTCCAAAGACTGACTTGACTTGAAGTCCTACGAGGAGTAGATGCAAGTGAGAGAACAGACAGGATGGCACGCAGGGGGTACAAGACTAGTGAGATGGCCATTGCTTTAGAAGGTGTCGGCTCCTGGAAAAGGTGCTGAAAGGGCTCTGAACCATTAGGCCCAGTGGCTGAGGTGAACTGAAATACTGTGTAAAAGTCAAAGAGGAAATAAATTTTCTCTTAAGAAGCATGACTTACATGTCAGGGATCTGTTGGGAAAGACTCCATGGAGGACGTGGGAAATAATTCTGGTCTTACACCTGGGAAAGAATCAACTCTGCTGGCGAGACTCAGCCTCCACCATGTCTACACAGCTCAAAGGTGGGAGTTCCATGAGAGTGGGGGCAGACAAGGTGGACACCAAGTTTCTCCAGGACAAACAGTAGATTTGTCAGCCCTCTGCACAGATACCCATTAGGAAAGGCTCTGTTGGATGAAGCAGAACACAGAGGCTATGCTTTCTCCACCCAGTATTCATTCTACCTTGAGAAGTGTATGAGATGTAACAGAGAGAATGAAGTTTATTTTCTAAAAGTAAAGCATAAAGATGCTCTTGCCATAAGGTCAGAGCAATGTGTGGAAGAACAATAATTTATAGAATCTTCCTGTTTGTGCCTACCTGTTTGCTTCCCCAGGGCGTAGATTATCTATGACCATTTTGTCACCTTATGCTGAAGGTCTGCTCTACAAAGGAAGTGGAATATTAGCTCCTTTATTGTTCTTGTTTATCCAAAGTCTAAAACTTGGGACCAGAGTGTTAGGTTAGTGGTCCGTTTGCACGCGGCCAACCTGGGTTCAATCCCCAATACCAAGGGCCCCCTAAGCCCTCCAAGAACAATCCTGAATGCAGATCCAGGAGTGAGCCTGGAGAACAACCGTGTGTACCCCCCCCCCCCACCACCACCACACACACACACTCAAAGAAAGTCTACCATTTACTCATGCAATGTGTAAGTCTTAAAAATGAACAACTCACCCCCACCATCATAACCACTACACACACAACACATGTACACATGTGCATGCACACACGTGCAGGCGCGCGTGCGCGCGCGCACGCACACACACACACACACACACACACACACACACACACACACACACCCCTCTTGGGTTGAAGTAGTTGAGGATTTCAAAAGAAGACTACCAAAGAATAAATATCCCAAATTTGATTTTCCCTTCCTTTTGTGCTTCTCGTAGAACATTGGTTAAGCTTCCTGATGCTCAGTATCAAACTGAAGGAACGTAAGAAAGATCCATCTCTACATTCTGCAAGAAACTGCCTGAAGGGCGCTGATTTCAGTGTTTATACCACTCCCGTGAGAAAATTAGATGACTCCTTCACAGGCCATAAATACAGGGAGATGAATAATTTGATAAAACAAACATTTCTAAGAGCCAGTGCACATCCTGGGATACTTTGGAAACATACTTGTTTTCCCACTCTCTGTTATGGGGCAGGTGCTGGTGGCTTGATTGTGGCTCCCGATCCGGCCAGGACTATGCCACTTGTAAAAGCATTTAGCCAGCACTTCCGAAATAAGGGGTGTCCATGGTCTGTAGGCACAGAACTCTGGGAGAAATGACTCAATTTTTACTCATATTCTAATTTGGTATTTTGATATCATGAGAAACCAAATGCTGATTGCTTACTTCTGTGACCTAAAAGGCAGTTAGTAAACCCAAGGATTCTTTGCTTAGTTTGTTTTGTTTCAACCTGGCAGATGCTTGGAGGCATGAGGTGGTGAGTATTGAACTCAATGCCTTGCAAATGCTAGTCATCTGCTCCAGCATTTTAGTCATATCCCTGGCCCTCAAGTTTCTAAGATATTGGGAAGAATTTGCCTTCAGAGAAAATAAAATCTGAGCAACACAAGAATTATAAGCACGGAAGCAGCTCATACTAGTTGGCCTTTCGCCACTTCTTTTAATGGATGCAAATTATTTTCTTCTTAAATATTTTTGCTCATCAGATTTTATGAGACTCCCTACGATAGTAAATGGACAAAGTGAGATTCTCAAAGACCCTTGTGTCTTCTTCCTCCCTTGGCTTGACTCCTTCACCCTGTCTCCCACACAGATTTAAAAATCAGGCTCCAGGTCACTGGCTGTGATGATGGTTCTGGGAATGCATTTGTCTTTCCAGCCCAGGGCCAGGGCTCTTTCAGTGAGATCATGCTGCCTATGGGGTGAGATGTGCAAGGATGTGTGTACTGCATGGAAGTGTAGACTCAGGAGGTTGTTAAGGACCAAAAATTGCTGCCGTTTTGCAGGATCTTCCTGCCAGAGGGAGCAAAGAAATGGCATGTTTCTAGAATCCTTTGTTCCAGAAATCTCCCTTCAAAACATCTATCTTCGATCAGGAAGGTAGCTCAATGGGAGAGAGGGTGTGCCTTGCATGCCTGAATCCCTGAATTTTTATCTCTAGCTCTGCATGGTGCCTGAGTACCAGTAACACTGCATTGGTGGGCCCAAGCATTGAACACTCTGGCCAGCCCTGGTTGAATAATGCTCAGTCCCTGGGCCCCAGGAGCATTGCTTGGGATAACTCCCCACCCTCCATTAAAAAAAAAAAGAAGAAGAAAACAAAATTCTATCCAACTCTCTGAGAAAATATTCATATCCATGGAGATAGCATAACACACCTAGTTGTTCACTAAGAAAAATTTATTCAGAAAAATGCCTGGAATTACTCTTCTGCTGCTTAGTATTAAGTTACCTGTGGTGAATTCTTTTATTTTCTGTTTAATGTGAAATTCTTTCCTAGGATAGTGAGAAGAGGAAGGGCTGATTTTCTCATGCCCAATGCAAGATCTCTTATCTACCTTGTGCCAGGCATTTATGGGGTTCATAACATCTGCATATTTTCACTGGCTTGGACTATGAGGGTGGGAAAGACGCAGTTTGATCAGACACATAAGGAAAGAGTATGTGATACCAATAATACACTTTATTAGAACAGAAGAGGATTCTAAGTCATTGGGTTCTTGCCACCTCAGAAGAGGAGGCCTGGTTTTCTCAGATCATTTGGAATGGTTTCTGAATGAGCATCCTCGCCAGAAACAAGCCCCAGTCCAAAGTGTCTGCAGTAGCTGCCTAGGCCTTCACGCTGACAGTGCCTCCACCCCGTACTTGGGCTGCGGAGTACCACGTGTCTGGGTGAAAAGGGAGATAAAGGAAACATCTGTTCTCACAATATGGGTTTGTTATCATAGCTCCTTTAAGTACCGAAGCGCTGGCTCCAAAAGCATATTTTCCCCCTCACGGAATCTGCGCAAGGCCTGGTCGATTTTCCGAGGGCTCAGGGACAGGTTGTAAATGAGATTGTAGTTGTGAATGAGACGTTTGGCTCGTTCCCTCTCCAGGACTCCTGCGATTGGGTGGGTGGGTGGGAGGTTTTTAAGAGAATGTCGGGGGGGGGGAGAGAAAAAAAAACTGTATTAGCTTAAATGACTTTGAACTGAACATAACATCTTAGTATTTGGAAAGTTAAAGCTTCTTAAAAGATCAGGTGGTACCTTAAGGTAGTTACTATCCTGGATGTGCATTGTAGATGCCAGGAGAAATTTGGGAGTGATTTGGGGGAAACAAAGAGGGCCCAATAAAACCCATAGATAAATTCTAAAACAATTTAAGCTTGTTCTCTGTAGTCATAAAATTTAAAGGCCAATTTTTGAAACAGGTGGGGTGCCTGCTCAAAACAATTCCCAATTGTTCTGGTTTATTTTTCATCTGATTGAAGTATCCAAACATGCTCCAAACAGGCAGGGTTTAAGTAGCTCATTTTTATGCACTTCTGGAAATGTAATTATTGTGTTTCCCACCAGTTTACAGAGTGATCAGAGGTAAATTATCTAATATTCTGTACTCGGAGTCGAAATTTGCAATAAAGAGGACCTGAAATATTTTCTGTTACCCAAATGGTATATATGCCAACTCTCCTATGCACTCCCTCCTTATGGCAGGTGGAAGAGAAGAATTTAATGGTGGAACACAACATTAGTAAAGATGAGTACCTCATCCATAAGCCCCTAATTGTGAGCTTACATATGTCAGACATTGTAGTTAGGGTTCTAGAGGATTTGGAGGAGTGATCTGTCACTTTAAGAAGGTCTAGGAGGAGCTATCTTGCAATATAAAAGAATGGTAGGGTGCCGGTCTTGCTAGTGGCTTGCCAGTGTAATTGAGCACCTCTGTGTGTGGTCCCACACCATTCCTGGCCCAGAAAAGAACGTTCTGGACTGGTTGTGGGTAACAAGGTGCAGAACAATGACTGGAGTGCAACTATAATAACAAGAATGACAGAGACCTGTAAATAAAATTGATTATGTCTTAGGTGCCCCTCCAAACAGTTTATCAATATTGTTATCTATTGCTTAAAACAACCCCCATTGTGTAGGGAGAAATGGAGGTTAAAGATGGCAAGAATTTACCCACTTAGCTATAGCACTACATTATACAATGAGGGGGAGAAATGGTCTCAAGTAGGGCTCATTTTATTTCCTAAAGATGTTCCCTTGAATCGTAATGGTCCACATCATCAGTTTTCAAAATAGAAGCTATGCGTTCCCCCTGTCCTCCATATTCCAATGAGTCCACAGGTAAAATCTATGTTAGTTGGGGGCACAGCACAAGTCAAGGGGAGCCAACTAGTATGATGGGGATCAGAGGAAGAAAAACAAGATTAGAAGGAGGTCTGAAAAAAGTTTAAGGATGTGGTCTACATTACAGAAATCAATGAAAAGCTTTTAAATTTTATTTACATCAGTTATACCATAAATTTTAACACTCTTTTACCTTCCTAAGCTAAAAGAAAACAAAGTTTAAATAAGCAAACAAACCATCACAAAGAAGTACATTAATAGATGCTTTTCTTCTGGTATTTCGTGATATAATGTGAAGTGTAGGTTGGTATGGTGGGAAGTTAATAGAACTGGTTTTGAATTATGCTCTGTTTTCTACTGGCTGTTACTCTATCACTATAAGCATGGATTTTCTCCTCTGTAAACAAGAACACTAATTCAAAAAGCATGTGTTTGATGTGAGGGATTAGTAATGCAATGTATGGTGAAGTTCAGAACTCATGCAAAGAATGTCCTTACTGCCTTCTGTCTCTTTGAACTCTAAATATTTTCTCTCAAGCCGTCCTCACTGGGAAGATTCCAAATCTACCATTTAACTAAACATTTATCTCAAGCACCCTTCTTTCTTTAGAAATCATGACCGGTTATTCATAGTCATTCCTTATTTTGTCTCCTCGTGGATATTTTCTTGACAAGCCCCATTAGAGAATAAGCACAGAGTAGGTTCCCAGAAACACTAATTTGATGATGGATGGTCGGCTTTCACCCTGGATGAAGAACACCCTGGCCTACATATTCCCTAGCACATAATAAAGAATAGTGATTCATCGGTGGGCAAAATAGGTATCATCTGCTCAGTGTCTTGAATGGGACAGTGGTGGTCTGCTAAATATTGTGGTTAATAAACAACCCCAGTGACCTCAGTTAATCCCCTTTCCTCATTAATGAGAGTTGTGGATGTTCCCAGATCTGGATGACACATTCCTTGGCCGTTAAGGAACTAATGAATTTCATAGAAACAGAGAAAACAAGCATAAATAGTGAAGAGGCCATGAGAAAGACCTTTCAGTTCGGCAGGAATCTGCCTCCAAAGTCAACAAAGCTCCAGTTTTCCTCAGATCAGTTCAGAAGTTATGAGATGATCCAGTTCCAGTCTTTGAGGAGTCTCTTAGCAACTAAGTTTATGATCCATCATCATCATCACAATGAAGTATTTGTTTCTTTGGAAATGTCTTGTCTCTCCTACTCAATTACTGACTTGGGTTGTGTTTATAAGACCATAACCACTTCGAACATCTTGGTATAAATCCCTATCTCACGACGACTGCAGTAGCCTTTGATCTTTTCTCTAAGATTTTCCCTCATTTGTTTCCTTTATGTTCTCCTCCAGTGACCCTTGGGTGAATCTGAGGTAAAGAATGAAGCCTCTTTTGGGTCCTCAAGTTTCACACATGGGCCTTAACTCTCATGTTCAAACCAACCTACCTTTCCAGCTTCTTTCTCCCTTTCTTCCCCATGACACACATTTTTATCTTTGAATCTTTCCCCTTCTAAGATGTTTCAAATTTGAGATGCTTTAATTATTCAGTCTACTTTTCCTCAAATCTCAGATTAAACTTCTTTCATCATAGAATCCTCTCCTAGTATCCCAATTCACTTTTGATAACAAGCCTCTTTTCATTTCTTCTTCCTTACTTTAGCATCCTTTAACTCTTACTGTGTTTTTAATTATCCCATATTAGTGTCATCTTGATATTCATTTTTTAGCGGTTACTGAAAATAGTTATCAAAGCTTGCTGAGGCCAGTGAACATGCCTCTTCTTTTCTGATTTATGTTCAGCCTTTCAGACAGTATGGAGGAAAAAAAATCAGCTTGATGGGTTTTTCATAATAATTACCCCCTTTCTTTAGTATTGTCACTGCCCTCCCGTTGTTCATTGATTTGCTCGAGTGGGCCAGTAACGTCTCCATTGTGAGAATTTGTTGTTTCTGTGTTTGGCATATCGGTTATGTCAAGGGTAGCTTGCTAGGCTTTGCTGTGCGGGCGAGATACTCTCGGTAGCTTACTGGGCTCTCCGAGGGGGGCAAAGGAACCGAACTCTGGTCGGCCATGTTGGCTGCATGCAAGGCAAATGCCCTACCAGCTGTGCTATCGCTCCAGCCCTAGTTATTAGAAATCTTTAGATATTATAATATTTATATTTGATGTTCTCTAGAAAATCTTTGAAAATTCATAACAAAACAAATAAAATTATACAGAAAATTAAAATTCAATTATTTCTGTCGTAAATGATTACTCTTTTTAAGCTATTATTATTATGGGGGCCACAGCCCTCAGTGTTCAGGGAACTGTGTGATACCAGGCATAAACCCCAGATTGCTGGAATATAAAGTATGCACTCTGTCACTTCGACCACATCCCATAGTCCACACTATTTTCTAATATCTTTATTGAGAGAAAATTGACAAAGAAGGTTTAATATACCATCAACATTAAGGCATACCATTTAATGATTCAATGAATATATATTGAAAATTGTTTGCCAAAATAAGCCCAGTTAACACATCCCTTACTTCACACAATTTCCATTTTGTTGTTATTATGATGAAGACATGAAAGCTCTATATTTATAGCAACTTTGAGTTATATAAAAGGATTGCCAAATGGAATCTTCCTGTTGTATGTTAAATCCTCAGAACTTATTTTTCTTATAAAGTGTTTATACTTTGATTAATATGTCTCCACTTCTCCTAACAATCACCATTCTGTAATTTGTGTCTATGCTTTCAGTTTCCATATATTATACATTAACTGCATTAATCTCAGTATGTGATTAGATGCAGCACTTTCAGTGCATATGCTTTGAATCTGCTCCTTCTTCCCCACACCCCAGGTCTCTAACTCAGATCTGGATTTCATTCTCTTATTCGGATTTTACAATAGCTGTTCCTGCTTTTAATTTATCCTTCCTTCAGCACACAGTCATTAAGGACCACTCTGCTACTTAGAAACTCTTGATGCTACTGCTACTCGCCATCTTTGAATTAAGTTCAAATTTCCTGGTCAGACCAGGATTCTCTAAATCTATCATTAACATAACATATTGTAAAGTATGGTACCTAAATAAAAATGGGGCAAAAAGGAGCTTTTCTAGATATGTTTGCATCCTATATTTATGCCTTTATCATTTAATATTCATTTAATAGCCACGAAAGTCTCTCTAAATCAACCCTCTTGAATTGAGTTTTATACATAACACTGGACTTGGTTAACTTGTATTTCTAATTATATTTCTCCATAAAGGGTTTCCTATATCATTCCTTTTAATACAAACTGTGCTTTCATTTTTTTGGTGCCACGCTCATTTTTTAGGGTTTATTCCTGTTTCTGTGCTCACAAGTCACTCCTAGCCAATACTCTGGGGACCACATGTGTTGCTAGGGATAAAAACAGGTCAGATGCACGCAAGGCTAGTGCTTTTCCACTGCACTATCTTTCTTTCACTCTATACCTAATATTTAATGATCCTTTCACATTTATAAAACCTTTCCTAATCACTCCTTAATTAGGAATTTGTCTTTAATTCTCCTGAATGCCTACATAGTACACTCTACCAGTAGTTATCACCTTTCATTTGGGGTTTTGTAACTAATGTTCACTCACTGACTCCGAAAAAGTTGTTGGGCAGAAGTGTGCAAAGTGTTAGGGATAAAAAGAAATATAGTCTGCTACAAAAGAGTAATTATCCCCCCAGTTGAAAAAAGGGCAGTACGTCAAATATGATTTTGAGCGCTAAAGCCTTGATAAGGTTAGCCATGGACAATTTCAGAAAATAAGGACTATGGTTACAAACAAAAATTTTTTTGGCCATAACTAATCAGATGGACAAGATTTGGAAGTAAAGAGGTGGGGATAGTAGAAGAAGAGCAAACAGTTCAGTAGAAGGGCACAGATTAGGAAAAGCATCACTATAGGGGCAAGGAAGGTGCACTGCAGAGAACAAACTCTTCTTTAGAAGTGTAGGACATCCTGAGAGAACGTGAAGGAGAAAAGGCTGCATGGATGAACAGGAACTTGCTTTTGTCTTTCCAGAGTGTCTGGAAGTCAGTCTGCTAACTCCCATAATAGATAAATTAGGAATTACAAGACTGTGTTGTGGGTTAGACACTGGAGGTGGAGTGGAGGAAGATTGAAGTCACAAAAAAACTGTAAAAAATATTGTGGGGAACATATATGAATACTCTTTGCACCTCATGATTGTACTCAATGCAGAATGAGGCACATGGTTTATTTACAGATTGAATGTCTTAAAAGGTGCTTGCAAGGAGGTGTCAACTTTCAGATTAGAACATAAGTGAAAAGATCTCCCCGTATTAAGCTTTGTACTTTACCTGTGTTACTCAGATCACACAGGTAGAGGGCATTTTCTAGCTTCCTGAACCTGTCCATCCAAGTCTCACTTTCTTCAGACGCCTTCATTACTGGACTCACAAGAGGTTGGGAAACTGGTCTGATCTTCAAAGAGTTCAGGCGATCTACGGCCAATGAAGTCTCAACAGGAGGGTTTTCCAGCTGTTGTTGCTCTTCTGGCGTTTTCTACAAAAACAATATAAGCATCTTACTGGCAAGGTATTCACCACTCAGAGATTCACTGGTCTATTGGCCAAAGGACAAGGCCACACAACATGCAAGATTTATTAAAGCTCTGGTTTTGTAAAGCTGAGAGTATGAGTTTCAAATGCTTAGTGCCATAGACCCATATCTGCCAAGTCTTGTTGGATATAAACTATTATGTTGAATTATTCTTTAAGAAAAGGGTAAAGTCCTGATTTTTGTTTAGTTTGAATTTCTGATTTGTCACTGGTTTTTGTAACTGCTGGAGATTTTCCATGATGTTCTACTCTGTTTTTTGTTAGTAGGATCCAGAGAGTGTAGGCTTGAGGCAATGGTTATAATTTTGTGGTGGAAAAACATCTGGATCATGAGTGTGAAGTTCATGACAAAGAGTGACTAAAAGAATAGTGATATCATCTTTACTTCAGGGGCTGATTCCAGGTAAGACAAAGCACCTCTGGTTGAGTCTGTTATATTCATTTAACCAATGATACTGAAGTCTTGTGAGTGGAAGTAATTTACTAAGATCACGTAGAGGAGGAATGGAGGGGACAAAACTGAAACCAAAGGGTACTGGTTATTTATAACTCATATTAGTATCTTTATCCCATGTCCAGTAAAGGTAAAGGCCCTCCCGTTGATCGTCGATTTGCTCGAGCGGGCCCAGTAACGTCTCCATTGGAGACTTTGTTGTTACTGTGTCTGGCATATCGAATACTCTCGGTAGCTTGCCGGGCTCTCCGAGAGGGGCGGAGGAATCGAACTCGGGTCGGCCATGTTGGCCGCTTGTAAGGCGAACGCCCTACCCGCTGTGCTATCGCTCCAGCCCAAAATAAAAATTTATCTTTTGAGACCTCCCTCCCATTGATTCCTGACCAATGGCGTGGGTCTGAGGATATTATGTGTTGCAGGGGATTCTGCAGGCCAGGCTGGCAGTAGTCGGGATCCCCCAGGACTGTTCCCTGAGCTGCTCAGGGGGACATGTGGTGGTGGGACTGAATCTAGGTTGGCTGCACGCAAGGCATGCACCTTAACCCCTGTACCATCTCTTGAACTACTAAAGATATTTGTTTATAAATCAGCAAATAATTCCTGCCATGCCACATATGTCAGAAATGATGAGAGTCCATTAAGTAAGCTATCTATCTCCACTTTTTCTCCTGCAGGAGGAAGTTCTCTTCCTTCTGGTCCATTTGGCTATAGAAAGAACAATGTTTCTTTCTACACAAGAGTGTAGTACTGGGCATCTTGAGTCAAAGTGAACCAATAAACAAACACACTGCCCAAGAATTTTAGACAAAAATACAGATGAGTTGAGGTCACTCTGAGTGATCCTGTAGAAGCTGGAATTCCATTAGTTTATCTTTGTATATCAGAAATAAGAGAAAGGTAGTCTGAGAAGGAGAAGGGGGATTCAGAGAGAAAGAGAGAGGAAGAGAGAAATAGTGACAGAGATAAAGATGCAGAGGCTGATTGATGCATATACACAGAGAATATAAAGCTGATAGAAAATACCAAAGAGAAGAGAAAATGTGCTAAAGAAGTCTTGATAATGTTGAAATCTGCTGAAATCCCTGGCTTAAATTCATTGCTACATTATGGTTCTTACACAGCACCGCATAATGTTTTATCCTTCTAACAAACTGGTAGAATTGGTTTTGTTAGTGGTAAGGTAAAGGTAAAGGCCCTCCCGTTGATCGTCGATTTGCTCGAGCGGGCCCAGTAACGTCTCCATTGGAGACTTTGTTGTTACTGTGTCTGGCATATCGAATACTCTCGGTAGCTTTAATGCATCACAAAATTATGCCTCTAACTTTTGTTCCTCAACTTCCAGACACCCAAATTTCTCTAATTTTTCACTTTTGTCTCAAAAATTTTTTACATATGATCTTTGAAACTTCCAGAGCTCTAAAGAATAATAATTTCATATTACTATTGCAATTGGGGAGCGTGGAGAATTTTTTTGTTTTGTACTAATAGAATTTGAGGCTATTTGAAACATTTACATTTACATGGGTGACCAGTAAATTTTAAGAGATTAATATAAAAGAAATTTACTTTAATAAGCTCAATGTGAGGAAAAGCTAAAAGTTTTCATTAAGTTTAGAGCAATGATTTGATTATTTCTTAGAACTCTGGGTCACATTAGAAATTAGTCAAAAGTTTTAGATAATAAGTAGATGCGCATTTACAAATATTTTAGTAGGTTATTTTAGAGAGTTCAAAAGCTGTCCTTGGATTTGAGAAGTCAATTTCAAATGATTTAAATTTTTTTTCCCGGAAAGAGTTTTAATGTAAGACTTCAATAGTCTCTTTGATCATTGAAGGAAAGGAAAATTTGTACTGATGTGAATTATGATCAAGTAAATAAGTAAATAAGCCAATCAGTTAGTAACTGACTAACATAACCTCCAGTGTTTTGGTTCCATCATATCCAGATAAGGTTCAAATATCTTGTTTGGCACATAAGACCACTTAAGTTCTTGTTCTTGAATTATCTTCTTTCCACCGTGGTGTGTGTGTATGTGTGTGTGTGTGTGTGTGTGTGTGTGTGTGTACACATGTATTATTCCAATTATAAAAGTGGATGTATGTCATGTTTTCTTACTTACACAACATGCTATTATTTCTATTGTAAAACCCTTCCTGCCAGTTATGGCTTGAATAGCTGGGTTCAAACTCATCCTTCAAGATCCAACTTGTCTATCTTATTTCGGGGATGCCTTCCCCTAGAGAAGAAATAATGTGTGGTTCTTGTGCACTTATCCATAGATATTTTAATAGTAAGGCTAGTCTCTTGCCTCTACCACAGATCTGGAGATTTGGCCTGTGCAATCATCCTTTTTGTATCCCCCAGGTGTGCTGAGAGTGTGACATACAGGAGGTTGTAAGACATGCTTACTAGGTAAACAGTGAATGAATAAATAATTTTCCCTGGGACAACCGAAAATTTGCTTTTCCAATTCTTTACCTTAATGCTCATTTCTAAAAAGTGGGACAATGAATGCTGCTTCTATACAGGAATGTGAGAGGGAAAAAATCAATTATTCCAGAAATACAGTAAAATTCTCATACAGGAGGCAAAATAAAAGAGCAAAGTATATTTTTTTATAATCTTATTCACAACAGACTTAACACTCAAGGAGAAAAGCATTTGCTGTTGTTTCTTGCATGGCAAGAGGCTTGCCAAAATGGATACTATTTTCTAAAATATTTCAAAGTGTGAAGTGCATGAGGAGGCCTCCCGTCATTTAAAGATGAATTATGTACTAATCCGAGCATTGAAAAAAACAACAACAACAGAAAAACTCAGGCTGTTTTTCAATTCTGTCTGCATCTTCTCCTGGCTAAGTTCTGGGAATATTAAAGTGAATTTTAACTGTATGCCAGATTTTTTTTTTTTAAATCTAAGAGCTATTCCATTTTAAAATGATATGTCTTCAGTAAAGGTCACCCTCCATTTTTGGAAAATGGACTTAAAATGCTAAAAGGAGTCTCATAACTAAACTTTGTTTTGCTGGCAGTTGGTAGACTGGTCACAGGCTTTGGGAGAAGCTTTTTTATTTTTTTTTTATTTTTTATTTTTTGCAGGGACTTAGTAAAACTCAGGAGCTATTTTGGGCTCTGTACTCAGTAGTGACCCCTGGCGGTGCTTAGCGGACTAACTTGTTCTATCTCTCTGGACCCTGGGAGCGGTTTCAAAACAAGCTGTAAGTCTAATTTCTTGGAATAGGTGGCATGCCCATTGACCTGTCATGAGAACAGGTATCTGCATGCAAATCAGCTTGGGCAGGAACCAACTAATACTAGTGGTGCTGTTCTGCCTCTTAGGACAATATCCAAGTCAGAAACAGTCTGACACTGAGGTATTGAGTTAAAAACAAAATCCTCCAAAGTAGGGCAACTGAGGATGGAGGAGGGGGGCTGGAGTGATAGTATAGGGGGTAGGGTATTTGCCTTGCATGAGGCTGACCCGCGTTTGATTCCCAACCTCCTATATGGTCCCCCAAGCACCGCCAGGAGTAATTCTTGAGTGCAGAACCAGGAGTAACCCCTGAGCATTGTCAGACATGACTCAAAAAAGCAAAAGGAAAAAAATGGAGATGGAGAATTGGTTTCAATGGTGAAGTTTTTCTCAAGCCTTACTAAAGAGCATACTGACCAAAGTCTCAGAGTTGCTTTGAGACATTTCACGTTCTTCAGGTGGCATAGCAGTAGCAGAAGTTCCCTTGTCTTTTTTTCCTGAACAAGAAAGAAAAAAATGAAGGACTTAGTTTTGTCTTTCAAATTTAAACTCATACAGATATACACACAAGCGCAAGAAACCCTGGCGTTCTGCGCCTTGGCAGATACTGTGTCAGGGAACATGAACCTATTCATGCATCCTGGATCAGCACGACTTGCTTTCTTCCTTAACGGAATTCAGGAAGGGGCAGTAGATGCTAAATAATTACCCCAAGTAATTATTTCATTGAAAATTACCTTACAGAGCACTGAGAAAAAAATATGACAGTATTTAAACTGGTTTTCAAGGTAGAGGTGAGAGTGGTAAATTATTAGTAAAGATTTTTTAGATGAAGTAACACTTAATTTGATAATATGAAGTGTTTTGTGGCAGAGGGGATTGTGAGGGTTTGGTTGGGCACAGAATTTCAGATAAGCAGTGAAATTCACAGGCAGCCAGCCTTGAATTGGAACTTTTCCACTTTGAAGAGCAGGATGTGGTCTCTTCCTGTGCTTTATCTCTTTCTACATATGTGTGCACCGAAGAGAATGGGGGGAGGAAGGAGAACCCATTAACTTCTCACTCCCTTGCTTCTTTAAGCGGTGAGAGAGCCTGGGTGGCAAGAAGTTGGAACAACGTCTATCATCTTAGAATTCTGCTACCCGGAAGCCCTCATGAGTAGAAGAAATGAACTGGGTATCATTCATTATTCATTTATGACTCACTCTTCATTCATTCAGCAAGTTCTTTAAATCACAGAAACTTAATGATGTATTTTACAAGTTCACACAATGACATGACCACACAGCACAGATTACTGGGAGATTCCCATTTCAATATTTAGCGAATGATTCAAACATACAATTAACAAATGCATGATGTTTCCGAGTTGGAGTTTACTATTTTTGATAAAAAGATTCCATCAGTAGGTGCTAAAAAGAAGGTGGAAGATAAATGTATTACACAGTGGTGGAGAGTAGAGAGTCTGAAGCCAGATGCCTTGGGTTTGAGTATTCACTCCATTGTCTTTCATTTGCTTGACCTGACAGATTGCTCTTTCTCTTTGTGGTTTAACTTTCCTTTCTGTGATATGGGGACAATCACTTTTATAGGTAATTTTGAGGATTAATTGTACTAAAAAATAGAAAGCCAATAAATACTGGCAGCCCAGCAAGCTCTCAAAAATTAATTAATAATAAGCTATCTTATGAATGCTTATATAAATGCATTCTTATCCAAGAGTAAAGGCCTTTTTTTTCTTTTTAATATTTATGAATGTAATGAATCTTTTGTCTTTTTTTTTCATGGGGAAAACAATGTGATGTTCATAGTCTTCTCTGGTCCTCTGCACTCAGCATTGGAATCAAGATTCCACTCATACTTATTGATTTAGTGAGTGACCAATGGGCCTTAACTTGGAACTCCCTTTTCTTGCCCTTGGAGAAATACTTCTCTGCATTTCTTTATCTTCCAAAATCAAATTCAGATGAGATCTTCTATAAAATAAAATAGATGCTCAGTGAGGATCATAATAGCAGCCAGATTAGCAGTCCTTTCCAGGAAGCTCTGGTTTCATTCCATATAAACTTAGGTTGTCATGGAAACTCATCATAACCTACTAACACCGGCCCATGCTTATTTCACCCCATATGTGAAAAAAAAACTTTCTGTTTACTGCAGGTAAAAAAAAAGTTCAAATTACTGCAAACCATCAGGATGAATTTTAAAGGGAATCTAAAAGCAGCATAGAGAGTAAGACATACATTGATGTCAGAGCTAAATGTTGATCCTGAATCTCTCTTCCTTTCACAAGTTGCCAAGTTTTGGATCCTAATTTTATCAGCTATGAGAAGAGGAGGATATCAGTGATTAGTAGTAAAGTGGCTGTTTAAAAATATACCCACATAGAATTAAATTGGGAAGATAATTCAAGACATTATTTTTTAATTGCATTATTCTTATCTAATTACATTGAAATTAAATTGATAGACGTAAAAGAACAAAGTAGTTCTAAAACATATTCAGTTCTTTGGGAACAAATTATGCAAGTGTGTTTATGTTAAAGGAGAAACACTCTGCTTTCACAGTGAAATATAATTCTTCTGTTGTTGTTGGTTTGCTTATTTGTTTGTTTGGGTTATTTTTGAGTGAGACCTGGACATGCAGTGCTGGGAATTGAACCTGGGACGCACACATGCAAAGCCTGTGTTCCTATCCTTTGAGCTATCTACCCAACCCCTGAAATATAATTCTTTTTGTTGTTATTTTTGGTGGACTGGAGCAATAGTACAGCAGGTAGGGCATTTGCTTTGCATATTGCCAACCTGGCCAACCCGGCCGACCCAGGTTTGATTCCTCTGCCCCTCTTGGAGAGTCCCGCAAGCTATGGAGAGTATCTCACCCTCAGGCAAAGCCTGGCAAGCTACCCGTGACGTATTTGATATGCCAAACACAGTGACAACAAGTTTCACGATGGAGACGTTACTGGGTCCGCTCGAGCAAATCGATGAACGATGGGAGGACAGTGCTACAATGCTATTCTTGTTATATGATTGGAAGCAAATTCGGTTCCCCCAGAGAAGAGATGCTAGCCTGAATTCACTGCAGTTCTGTGGGCAGCATTTTCACAAGCAAGATCTGCGTTAGGATGAGATCTAGAACTTGAATGCTTCTCAGGTCTGTCTGTCCTTGCTGTCTGTACTTCTACAAGTTCAATTAGGAGAAAAGAATACCAATTCTCTTGGATTCTTTAAGGCATCCCTTTCTCTTTTCTAATACCTGGAAGAATATAAAAAGTAATGGCTTGCCCATGCAACCATGCAAAAACTGTTCGAAAAACCCCAGGCAGAGCATTTTTTTTTTCTTTCTAACACAGCAGGAAGGATAAATAATAACCATCTGTCTAGTCTGCCAGTTCAGGATTTGTATTGGCAGAAACAAGCCAAGCCCGGTCCCTGAGATTTCCAGGTGTTGGAAGGCCAGATTTTACACGTTTTCCAGTGGACTCTTATAGTTACAACGCCAGCCAGTCTTCCCCTACCCCCACTAATGACTTGAAGTGGTGGCCATTCAGCACGGTGGGTTAAAGCTCCCACCAGGTGGGAGTCTTAAACATTCCCCACTCTTAGATGTCACAGCAGACCCATTAAATCAGAAGCTCTAGGGATGAGACTCCAGCTCAGAATTCCTTAGGAAATTCTTTAGAAGTACTGAGGCTTCTCAAAGGAATCTAGGACAAGAAATTTAAATAAGTGATTGGTTTCTTTGGACCTAATAAATGAAGCTTTTGTGAGGAAGCTAATATTTGTCAAACACACATACACAAGCACAGAAATGTGCACATGCATACACACACATGCATGTGTGAAAGATATATATATATCAGACATCTTTCACACTTTTAAAAAACCATAATCTACACAACAATCCCTTGAAGTAGAAATTATCTGCATTTTTTTCTATGAGGAAACTGAGGCAATGAAAATGTTCAGTTAACTGCTAAGAGAAAAGAGATGGGATTAGTGCTGACATTCTATCTCTTTTATTCATTCCACAAACACTTGATCGCTAAGTTCTGTTTTGGGCACTCTGATAAACAATGAAGAAATCAGAATCTTCTCATAAAAATGGATATTCCAATGCAAAGGCAATCAAATAAATGCATAAAATAAAGCCAAATAGTAATAAGAGATAGTGCTATCCCTGAAAATCAATTATAGGGCAGAAAGCAATGACAGTTGCTATTTAAGTCAACGAATTATCAAAACACTCCGAAAAGTGAGTCCTGAGTTAATAAACAAAGGAGAAAGTCTTCAAATAAATATCTAGAGGAAAGAGCATTTCAAGCAAAAGATCTCAAGGACAAAGGCCGTGGAGAGCTGTGTTGGGTCCATTCAAGCAAGAAATGAGAGCCTTACTGATGCATGATGAAAAGGAAGAAGTGGGTTAAGTGTTCACAGAGTAGAAATGCTTCATGGATAATGCTTCATGACCGGAGACAGTCTTTTTCCCATAGGATTCCCACACTCATTCCCTCTCCGGTGATTACTGCTATTATAGATTTCTAGTGATAACAACTTCTTTTCTTTGTGAGGACTAGTTCTATCCCCATCCCCGTGCTATGGTATGGTAGGACTGACAATCTAGAGTCCCGCCTCTGAGATTATTTACTGCCTAAAGACTGTGATGTATCTCAATCACAGTCTTGGTTCAATGAGGGACAGAAAACTCAATCTGGGCCTCCGAGACAAGAGGAGAAACTTCTGCACTCTCTTGGCTAGTAAATCTTATGCTTTCTTGGCAGGCCCTATCAAAAGGGAATACTGAGACGATGTGATGACCATAGCTTCTAGACTTAATCTGCTATTGTAAAAGGAGTTCTCAGAGCAACTAGGGACCACCATGTAGAACCTGAACATGATACTAACACCAGGCAAAACAGATCAGAGAGAAAAAAAATCAGATTAATGACAAGATTTATACCTTTCTTCTGTCAGATTTCTTAAGTTACATAAACCAAAATATCTTTATTGTCTGAACTCTAGCTTCTTAAACTCTTGGTTGTAACTCCACATGAGGTCACATAACTGAATATGGGTGCTGTGAAAATTTTGTTTTAAGATAAGTTTATGGTTTATTATCAGCATATGCTTTGATGATTCCTCTGTCCCTCTCAGAGAGCCTGGCAAGCTACCAAGAGTATCCCACACGCATGGCAGAGCCTGGCAAGCTCCCCATGGCGTATTCGATATGCCAAAAACAGTAACAAGAAGTCTCACAATGGAGACCTTACTGTTGCCCACTCGAGCAAATCAATGAACAACGAAAGGGCAGTGCTACAGTGCAGTGCAGTATAACTATTTTATATGCCAAAGATTACTTAAAATTTTCTCAGAGGGAAAAACTTTTAGAAGGGAGAAACTTTGAGAAGCTCTTTTCTAAATCAACTAAGATGACTTTTCTACTCCTTCACTGTAAGTCATTTCAATAAGAAGTGATTATGAATACATATTTTTTCCTTGACAAAAAGGAGGCCAAGCAGATTTCTTTTTTGTTTTTTGTCTTATCTTGAGAATTAGGTATTCTCAAGAATTAGGGAATATGGGCAAAGATTGAAAGAATATGTAGGTAAATGAAATATATGAATTTTGTGAGCATTTTGGCCCTCTTTTATCCGTGTTCTCTTTTACAGTTTATAATTCTAAACTGTAAGAATGAGTAAAGAGGAAAGATGAGTAAGGAGAGGCTACTCAAATCTCAGGGCTGGGACTAATGGAGATGTTACTGGCACCTGCTCGAGTAAATCTATAAACAATGGGATGACAGTGATGACAGTGATACAGTGAGTTACCTCTAAGGTGACCATCATCCCCTCCTAATTTCCTTCATTAGTAGTAGTCCCGTGCTTTGCTTTTTGTGTCCACTTCTTTCTCTTTGTTATTATTTTGTATTGAAATTTTATTGAGATATCCTAGTTTATAATCATGTGAAAGTCATTATTTTATAGTCACAGAGCACAAACAATAGTAATTCCTCCACTAGTGTTTCAAGATACCTCCAGCATTATTCCATGATCCCTTTCCCCACTTCCCTTCACCCCTCAGTCCCAGTTCTGTTGATTATATTTCAAGACTTCTTTCCAGTGGAAGTTGTCTAATCTCTTTCTTTGTTTATTAGAGCTATAATCTGGTATTTATCTTTTCCTTTCTGACTTATTTCCCTCAATGAGACACCTTGTAAATTCATTTAAGTTGAAGCAAACTGAAATTTCATGATCTTTCACAGTATTTATTGTGTGTATATATATGTATACTTGTATATGTGGTATAAGTACATATGCTATATAAACATATACATATATACATAAATTGTGATATATATCACAATTTATTTGTCCACTTGTCCTTTGTTGGGTACCTGGGTTGCTTCCAGATCTTGACTATTGCAAATAATAGCGCTGCATTTAACATAAGTGAACTTACATCATTTTGGATGAATGTTTTTGTGTTCTTGGTAGTGGATTCCCAGGAGTGGAATTGTCGGATCAAAATGAATGTTTTGAGTGATCTCCAAACTGTTTTCCAGAGAGGTTTAATTATGCAACAGCCACACAACAGTAAATGAGAGTTCCTTTATGACCACATCTTTGCCTTAAACTTACTGTTTCTTGATCTTTGTCACATAGATCACTTCTATCACTTACTGATCCCAAGTTGGGGACCATACATCATTTTGTGTTAATTTTAGCTGAAATACTTTCAATTGTATTTATAATTTCCCAGCTCTCCGAGAGGGGCGGAGGAATCGAACCCAGGTTGGCCGTTTGCAAGGCAAACGCCCTACCCACTATGCTATCGCTCTGGCCCATACTGGAGCTCACTCAAGCAAATCGATGAACAATGGGAGGACAGTGCTACAGTGCTACTATTTATAATTTCACTTAGTTGAACATCTTATTAATCTTCTATATCATCCAAACTGTCTTATTTTATAGCTGTATTGTTTTACTAATCTAGTGTAATTCTTTTTTTTTTTCTCTTTGGGTCACACCAGCAACGCACAGGAGTTACTCCTGGGACTCCTGGCAGTGCTTGGGGGACATTATGGGATGCTGGGAATCGAACCCGGGTCGGCCATGTGCAAGGCAAAAACCCTAACCGCTGTGCTATCGCTTCAGCCATTTGGGCTCCAGCCATTTGGAGCGATAGCACAGCGGTAGGGCGTTTGTCTTACAGGCAGCCAACATGGCCAACCCGAGTTCGATTACTCACCCCTCTCGCAGAGCCTGGTAAGCTACCGAGAGTATCTCACCTGCATGGCAGAGCCTGGCCTGCTACCTGTGATGTATTCGATATGCCAAACACAGTAACAACAAAGTCTCCAATGGAGATGTTACTGGGCCCGCTCTAGCAAATCGATGAATATTGGGAGGACAGTGACAGGACAGTGACAGTATAATTTAATTTAATGGGCTGGAGCAATACCACAGTGGTAGGGCATTTGCCTTGAAAGCTGCCGGCCCAGTCGAGCTAGGTTCGATTCCTCTGCCCCTCTTGGAGAGCCCAGCAAGCTACTGACAGTATTTCGCCCACAGAGCAAAGCCTGGCCAATTACCTGTGACATATTCGATATGCCAAACACAGTAATAAGAAGTCTCACAATGGACATGTTACTGGGTCCGCTCGAGCAAATTGATGAACAACGAGAGGACAGTGCAGTTCAGTATAATTTAATAAATATCTCTTAAAAACTAACTTTTCATTAGCTTAGTTTTTATGGGCAATAAGCAGAATAAGTTGTAAGATTTCTAGATGTAAGAAATTCTGTAACGAAAATTCTAATAAATAATATTAACTTCTTGAGTAAGTGTACTGTGTTCTTCTTAAAAGACTATTGCTAGACAATGCCTCAAAAGATATTAAAACACAAGGAATTATACCTTTTATGATTCAATTGATCCAAACAAACTGCCATTAATACAATCCTTATTTCTATATTTTTCATGTTGGGATATTTACATTTCTGGCACCAAAAGATGAAACTCAAACAACAAACAAACTATTGGTGCTAAAAAGCAGGAGTTTTTCTCGAGCAACAAAATAATTACTCACCTGTAGGCAAATCAGATGATAAATCAGAGGAAGCTTTGCTCAACAATTCAACAAAACTCTGCCACCTGGGCAAGAAAAAGAAACATAATATTGGTAATCAATATCATCACTCTGGAAGAATGTACAATCAAGTAGAAGTTTATACGGATAGAGATATTAAATGGGAATTTCATACTTGTGCCATACAGGGGACATGCAGGAGATGGAAACCTATTTTGGTATTTGTACTAGGAAGAGCTTCGATATAAGGAATAAAGTGCCCATAAAATTATTTAAAAGGCTGTTAAAGTAGAACTTCGTGTCTGCTTAGTGTCAGCAAATTTAGTCGTGAGTCCAGGAAACTGCAGGAAATTCTGCCTGATGTTTCAGTTGCCCCAAGAGAAAGAATTGGTAATCCAACAGTACAAAATGCATTTTGGTTACTTGCTGGAAAAAAGTGATTTCTGACAGAATCTAGAGTAGCTGCTACTGTGGCCAGAGAGATAGTATAGTGGGTAGGACGCTTGCCTTGAAAGTAGCCAATAACCTGGTTTTGGTCCCAGGTGCCCCATTATGGTACCTTGAGATCACTAGGATTTACCTGTAAGTGCACAGTGAAAAGTGAGCCCTGAGCATGGTTGGGTGTGCTCCCTCCAAATAAAAAATAAAAAAATAAATAAATAAAACAGAGAGAGTTTTACTGTAGTTTATTTTACTGTGGAAAATAAACACAAAATATCTCTGTCATTATCTCTTCTATCCCTTCAACCTTTCAAATCTTATGCCATCACATCTCACTGATGAAACACAACTCAATTTTAGAACTTACCTCAGGGGACACTTGCAAAGATTTTTCAAAAATAACTACTTATGAAAAATAAAATTTTTGAAGTACACACTGCATAAATGCTGACTATAATTACATTAATTTCATTAGCAATATCATCATGATTATAATTAATATTATATTAAAACTATTATCCTATATGAATTATGGCATTCTCAACGAGAAGACTGAAATTAATAAACTCTTTAAAATAGGGTCTGTTTCCTAATTTCCAACCAACGGGAAGACTCATAACACATCTCTTAATAGCTTGTTTCTTTTCCCATTCCCACTAAAAAGTAATTGCTGAATCAGACACCTCCTGTTTCTTTTATCGACTAAAATCCTCTAGTTGTTCCTGGGATTACCAAACCAGTCCTTTTCAACCTAATTGCACTCTCAATAATGAGCCAGATGTGTTTGATAAGTCCTACTTGTGGCTGTGTCAATTGCTCCTCTCTATTTACCAAGCTTCCTAGAGCTACATTATTCATCCCTTTCCTCAACACAATTTGGCGTGAGTCTATATTTTAAACTGGGTTTGCAGCATTTAATTTTGCCAATATAATTTTAGAGTATTAGTTTGCCTCCTGTTCTCTTTCTGCCCTCCTTAATTACCATTTATTGTAAAGTCACACAGAAACATTAAATGCTAATTCTGACTTACATGTTTGTGGCCAAGAACAGGGATAATGATTTTCATCCAGCACAACCTGAACTCATTTTATATAAGGGTGATTCAGAGTAGAGATTTGAAATCGTAATCAAGTCTTTCTCAAAATCGCTTTACCCTGGCAGTCATTCACTAATGTCTCTCTCTGCTAATTGGTAGGCAAATGGCAAAATCGCAAAATCTGAAAGTTAAAAACAAAGCAAAAGAAAACAAAAATCACCCCCAACAACTTTGCTACAGCGCTGGCAAAACTGCTCTTCTCATCAGCTCTTTCGATGTGACAGTTTAAGAAGGAAACACAACTCATTTTATTTAGTTAGATGGGGGCTAATCCCACATCACCATAATCCCTCCTGATGTTTTATTGATTCTAAAGGAAGCAGCTCAGCACTAGAATCCTGCTAATTAGCAAGCAGCTACATACCAAATGGGTTCCCAATTGAACAGCAGATTAATGGACAATATGTACTAAAATAATGATTCGAGCATTCAGCTTCTAAAATGTGTGTCTAAATTGCATCTGTAATCTCTTAAGGATATAGGTTTGCATACAAAGCTCTAAACAGAAAGGATTTAATTCCACTGAAGGAGCTCTAGCCAATGACTGTTTGGGGATGAGCCCGGCAAGCTACCGAGAGTATTCGATATGCCAGAAACAGGTTTAACATTTGCAAATGTTACTCTTCATAAGATTCTCATAGTTCTGATGTCCTTGAACATTCAAATAAAAGAGAAGTGATTAAAGAAATGTGTGTCTTCTGATTTGTGCATAAAATGCACTAATTGAGACCTATAAATGAGATTATAAGTAGACCTGCTCCATTCTCCCTTTTTCTTATAATTCTGGTTCTTATTGTTTTAATTCTGAATCCTTGATTTTAATCAATGAATACTGAAACATTAAATCCATATTCTGAAATTACTTCACTTTTCTGTGTTTGCTATATAACCATTCTACTCGCCCTCACCCAACTAAATCCCGTATGTTGGAGAAGGCAAACTCCATGTCCAAAGTTGGGCCAGTGTAAATTTATTGATTTTACTTAATTTCATAAAAATTGATTTATTAATTTATTCCCCTATAAATCTTACCCTTTGTTTTTCTATACAGACATATAAAATGTGGTACATTATATATTTTAGTTTATTTATGTTTTTTTGCCCCACAATATAAGTTTCAGGAGAAAGGAAGGTTTGTTTTATTCATATATATTCCCAGTGACTAGAATAGTGTTTTATACGCAGTAGACACATATTATTATTATTATTATTATTATTATTATTTTTTGCTTTTTGGGTCACACCCGGCAATGCACAAGGGTTATTCCTGGCTCTGCACTCAGGAATTACTCCTGGCGGCTCTCAGGGGACCACATGGGATGCTGGGAATCAAACTCAGGTCAGCCGCGTGCAAGACAAATGCCCTACCTGCTGTGCTATTGCTCCAGCCCCTAGACATATATTATTGAATGAGTGAAAAATGAGTTAATCAGATGTTTATTGTGTATCTACTACATGCCAACTACTGGGCCACAGGATAATGTGAATATGATTTGGGGGAAATAATCATGCTTTTCGCCAGGATGAGTTCATTATGTAGTATGTAGACAGTAAGCAAACAAGTTACACAGACAAAATGTAATTATAAATAGTTCTAAGAGATAAAAAGAATGAGGGCTAATAACGCAAGGGAACTGACTCTGATGAAATGATTAGAGAGGCTATTCTTCATTTTACTGAGTCAAATTTACTGAGTCAGTTTACTGAGTCAAATTATCTCCAAGAGTATTTTGAAAACTTATTCCTTTCCTACTTCAATTCAATTCCAAAATACTTATTGAATGTCCACTATGTGCCAGAAACTTCTTTAGACACTTAGCATTTGGCAAAGAACAATGGATAGATCCTTGGTAATGGTATTACACAGTTTGTCAGAAAGTGACAGGTAATAACAAAAAGTGAATCAGAACATTTCTGCGATACAGTAAAAATTGATACATATATAGATGAAATAAAAGCAGTTAAGAGGAATTAAGAAGCGAGACTACGACTTCAAATAAGGTAGTTTGTGTAGCCATCATTGACAGGGACATTTGTGTAAAAATTTGAAGATAAAGGAATTAGTATGAAGATATCTGAACTAGTATTCTAGGTGTGGGAAATGTTCAGAGGACTGATATCTACATGGAGATTTGCAGGTGTGTTTGAAGAAAACAAGGAATAAAGCACAAGTATAGCTTGAGCAAATTAAGCTAAATGAGAAGTGAGTGGGAGCAGAGGTGATTAGGGGACAATATGGGATGTCAGAGGTCAAACCCAGGTCTTCTGCATGCAAGATAAATGCCCTGTCCATCATACTATCTCTCTAGCCCCACAGGTTGATAGTTTTATTTGTTTAGTATTTTTAAGATATAATTTTAATGTCTTATGATTCACGTAGTTTATGATAAGAAGCTTGTTGTAATTCTTTGTTTCTCTGCATGAAAGCCCCCCTTTTTGGAGGTGGCACACCAGCAGTGCTCAGGGCTTATTCCAGGTTGTGCTGAGGGATCACTCCTGGCTATGCTCAGAGGATTTGAACCCAGTTGGCTGCATGCAAAGCAAGAACCTTACTTCCTGTACTCTCTCTTTGACCTTTATTTGCACTTGAAGCACACCAATATTACTTAAAACCTATATTACTTAACTTTCAGTATAAGAACTTCATGCAGAGGGCATGGACTGGAGAGCTAGCACAGCGGGTAGGGCTTGCCCTGCATGTGTCCTACCCAGATTCGATTCGTCCATCCCTTTCAGAGTGCCTGACAAGCTACCTAGAATATCCCGCCCGCACGGCAGAGCCTGGCAAGTTTCCCGTGGCATATGCGATATGCCAAAAACAGTAACAAATCTCACAATGAAGACGTTACTGGAACCACTTGAACGAATCGATGAACAACAGGAGGACAGTGCTACAGTGCTACAGTGTTCATACAAAATGACTAGAAATATCATAAGAAGTAAATTTACTATATTGTTTAGATGGATTACTAGCTGAGGAAAGGAGATAGCAATACACCCTAGATGGAATCCCACCGTTGAGTGGATCTCCTAGTAATCTGGAGTGCTGAACCCTCAGATGAGATTTTTGTCCTTGAATTAATCCCTTAGAACATGCCCTGAAAGAGTGGCTTTACATCTGTTTGTTACAACAATGCTCAAACCCACCTATGTGAATCCCCACCCTTCATGATTTCTATATAACTATGCTGTAAGAGGTAATAGGAGGAGACGAGATGAGGACTAGGAGGACTAGGAGGAGACAAGAATGATGGAACTGTGATGACTGGGCCTACAATTGTGTTGTACGGAGAGAGATCAGACTATGCTGGGGGGAGAGAAAAATAAATTGACTACCAACAAGGCTGGGGTCCTGTTTTTCCGGTCCTTCGTCCATCTGTCACTGTGGTTCGGTCAGGGGAACAGCTCTTAGACCACTGAAAGCTCAAATTCCGGGTGTCAGTGCCCTTCTCTTGAAACTCACAGAGGGGGTCTGGTTGTTGGCTCAGGACTTTCTCCTGGCTCTGATTGAGGATCTCTTCAGGTGGTGTTCAGGGGACAATATACATTTGCCAGTGATGAGAATGAGTTTAATTTCATGCAAGACAGATATCTTATTCTCTGTACTATCTCTCCAGCCCTTTTGAGGATATTTTATTTTTTAATAACTTTAATTTCATAAGGTAAAGGTAAAGGTAAAGGCCCTCCCATTGATCGTCGATTTGCTCGAGCGGGCCCAGTAACGTCTCCATTGGAGACTTTGTTGTTACTGTGTCTGGCATATCGAATACTCTCGGTAGCTTGCCGGGCTCTCCGAGAGGGGCGGAGGAATCGAACTCGGGTCGGCCATGTTGGCCGCTTGTAAGGCGAATGCCCTACCCGCTGTGCTACTTTAATTTCATAATAAATAATAAATTTATATTTAGAGAGAAAGTTAAAGATATAATAGAAAATTAACATGTTTCTCACCGGTATTTCTTTTTAACATCTTACATTAGAATGATACCTTTGTTACAAGTCATAAAACATGGTTGATAAATTATTACCAACTAAAATCCATACTCTATGTCATTAGTTTTTACATGGTATTCATCTTTTATTTAGGATTCCATGCCCACTACAACATTACTATGTCTTTATGTCTTTTTTGATTGTCTTGGATGTGATAGATTCTCATATTTTTCTTACTTTTCATAATGTTCATAATCGTGTGGAGTACTGTCAAGGTATTTTATAAAATATAGATTGTCTGTATTTCATAAAATTTTTCCTTATTACTAAACTGAGGTTATTGGTTTCAAGAAGAAATATTATTTTTGGATCTCAGAAGTTTTGAGTTTTTTCTAATATTGCCCATAGAATGAATGGGCAATATTAGACTTTCCTATACTTTCTTGACCATGTGAAGTGTATTTTTAATTATGATTTTATATCATTGTACAGTACTTCTCTAACCTGTGTTGGTTATGAATAGCCTGTTACTATTTTAATTTTAAATTGTAATAATTGATTAAGCTTTTTCTGTTATTATCATCTTAGCAATTTTTGTATGAACTCAGGAGATAGAAAATTTTACATCTTGCATTATTTATTTTTTACTTAGAACATTTAGATACACATAAGTTTTTGGATGTCACTAATAACTTAGAAACAGTTTTATAATTTTAAAGCATTAAGGGATTTTATTTGTTTAGGTTTGGGTAATTAATTTGGCTCTAATATAACATAATATCCACTGAAGATTCTACCCCATAGCTCATGTTTCTCTCTCGAAGACAAGCTATTTCCAAGCCTCTGAATATTTATAACATTTTTTTTCTGCCTCTTGGTTTGTTTCCCCCTGGCTTGGATAGTTTCTTCAAATGGACACATTAGCCAATACTGATGTGAAGAATTGAAGGAAACTTTTTGTAAATTTTCAGAAAAAATTTCTTGGTCACCTCTCACCTCTATTTTTCTGCACTGTGCATATTAGCTTCCTCACCATTTCTAATTCCACCATTTATCTCTTAAATGCCAGGAAAATTCTAGGCTTTCATTTATTTCTTAATTAATTTATTTTTGTCAAGCAAGAGAATTTTCATTGAAACTTATTTAGAAAGATGGAAGGGGAGAGAAAGAGAAGATATGTGCTCTAGAGAGAACACAGGATTCTCCAGAGTAGAAATAAACAACATAGAAAAAAGCAAGTGAAATATATGTTCAAGGGAGAACATGGGCTTGAAGAGCCTCTTGGCTGTCTTCTAAATTCCTCTTGTTCATTATGCTGATTGAAGTCAAAGTGAAGTGACAAGTCTATACTTCTATAGTTTAAGTAAAATGGTAAATCTGATTCTTGTTAGTCAATAATCATTCTATTCAAGTGATGGAAATCAGTGACTTTATACATAAAACTTGTCTCTGTATTTGGCATTCCAACAGAAAGTCGTGTGAATAAAATATCAACTTACTTTATTTCATCTTGATAACCCAAATCCTGATGGTTGAGCAATGTTTCTAGGAGGCTCAAAGTCAGATATATTCCATGCTTCCCACATATAGCCCTGACCTGCAAATTACAAATAATTAGGAAGTTTACTATAATAAAATTGAGTTTCAAGTTTTCCTTTACAAGTATATGATTTTATATTTCAAGTGTTAATGCCCATGAGTACACCATACCATAATAACATGTAATTCAGGATAGCCTATTCAGGTGAATCATCATCAATGGTAAATTTTTATTTGGTTAACAGACTTCTACTGCTCACTATTTAGATACCATTGAATTTTGGGTAGATTACAGAAAGGAGTCAATCTACAATGCTTTGTGGAAGCTAGACCTTGGTCCACGAGAAACTATTATTAATAGTATTGTAAACCAAGAAATTAAATTAAATTGTAAAAGAAGTTTGGTTTTTTTGGTTTTTTGTTTTGTTTTTTTCTTTCTGGGTCACACCCAGCAATGCTCAGTGGTTCCTCCCGGCGGTGCTCTGGGGACCATATGGGATGCTGGAGATCGAACCCATGTCGGCTGCATGCAAGGCAAACTCCCTACTGCTGTACTATCGCTCTGGCCACAAGAAGGTGTTTTTTAGCATATTTATGTGCATATTCTGTACATTCTTTGAAGTGTTCCTTTTTCATAATCCATATGGTGCATGTTATATTGTTAAAGATATATTATTCAAAATGGAAATGTTCATATTAAAAACACAAATATAAGTTTACATAAAAACTCTGCCCTGCCAATCCCTGGCAGATGCCCCCATACCCCACAGCCACTACTTCACTTCTTCACAACTAATCCCTGCAGACAACAAACCAACGAAAATCTCAGGTACATCAGTTTTCAGACAGAGAACTCTGGGGTCTTCTAGGAGTGGGAATGGGCAGCTTGCACCCACCCACTAGACTTCTGGGAGCTCCAGAAGCCACACCCACATGCCACAGCAGCTCCCTTGGAAATTTGTGGGCCCAGTCCTGTATATGCTAGAGTTCCTGGAGTAAGTGGCAGCATATGTGGCTGCATGGCACCTCCGAGTTCCACAATACTGACAGCCCAGTAGGAGCACATCAAATTAGAAGGAAAAACAGTATAGAAGCCTACTAAGCTCAATAAACAAAGAAAGTAACACAGAGAGGTCAACTAGCAACAAACAGTATAGTAAACCCTTAGATATTATTTAATAACCACATTGTGAAATAGAACAATTTTCATAAGTTTTCTTTTATTAAAGAATATTTTTATAATTCCATTAGCCTTTCAATTATAACAAGCAATATTAAATAAATGATTTTGTGCCTGCGAAGATGCAGGCTTGTAAGGTAGGTGGGAAACTGGGGACAGTGGTGAGTGAAGGTCACACTGACAGTGATATGGTGTTGGACAATTGAATGCCTGTAACAACTATATTATGAACAATTTTGTAAACGAAGGTGTTTAAGTAAAAAGAAAAGTATGTATTAAGTTAAAAAATACACAGATGCTCTATGCCTAAAACTGGTATGATAATTATAATAAAAATTAAGGGAATTGACATTTAAAAATGAGACGCACAATCACTTGATCACTTGATCACTTGTCATCCTGTTAGTCATCGATTTGCTCAAGTGGGCGCCAGTAATATCTCCATTCGTCCGTGTCACATGCTAATGTAGTCCAATGGCGTCTCCTTGTTCTAGGAATACAAAGAGCCTCAAACCATTGTTCGAGGTCTTGATGAAGAAGTCTGACCATCTCATATGTGGGCGGTCACGCAATCTTTTGACGTCTGGTGGAATCCAGTCAGTAATGGCTCTAGTCCAGTAGTCTAAATCTCATTACATGTTCAGCCCATCTGATTTTCAACATCCTGGCAAACAAGACAGCATCCCTCATTCTTTATCATCGATGGAGGTCAGAACTCCGGATTACTTCTATCACTTGAGTGAAGCATGATACTCCAAGCATAGCTCTTTCCATTCCTTTTTGGGAGACCCGAATAGCGTTCTCATCCTGTTTTCATAGGGCCCAGGTCTCTGAGGTGTATGTTAACGCAGGAAGAACAGTGGAATTGAAGCCCGGAGCTGGAGGTTCCTCATACTCTTAGTTATTTCTTCGATGCTCTTGAAGGCGTTCCAAGCTGCTCTCTTCCTCCTGTGCAACTCATGTGCCAAGTCATTAGTCATGTTGACTTCTCGACCTAGGTATACATAACTGTTGCATTTGGAGATGTTTGTTCTGTTGAGAGTGAATGAAACATCAGGAACGAGACCGTTTCTCATTAACATCTTCATAAAATTCAGCTGCAGTCTGACCTTTCCACACTCACAGTAGAAGCTGGCCAGCATTTGTGCCACTTGGCTAATGTTTGGTGTTATTAGAATGATGTCATCAGCAAAGCAGAGGTGGTGTAGTTGCCGATCGTCTATCTTCACTCCCATTCCTTCCTATTCTAGTCGTCGCATGACATTTTTGAGGGTGGCACTGAAGAGTTTCAGTGAAATGGTATCACCCTGATGAACCCCCGTCTTGACCTGTTTGATCACTTCCTTGTAGAATGGTGAAATCCTGGTAGTGAATCCGTAATAGCTCACGAAGGATCCTGATGTATTGAGTTTGAATGCCCTGTTTGGCTAGGGTTCCGATGACCACTTCAGCCTCAATAGAATCAAAGGCCTTCTTTAAACCAATGAACGTTAGACAGAGCAGCGTCTTGAACTCCTGAGAAACCTCAATGAGCTTGGTTATTTTGTGGGTATGGTCGATTGTGCTGAATCCTTTTCGGAACCTGACTTGCTCGCATGGTTGTCCTTCACCTAGTGTTCTGCCAATCCTATAGAGGATGACAAGAGTGAACAGCTTGCAGACAACAGACAACAAGGAGATCGGGCGATAGTTGCCAATGTTGTGGATATCTCCCTTCTTGTACAGTCGTACAGTCCTGCTGGTTTTCCACTGGGACGAAACTTTGAATTCAGACAAGGTAGTGTGTGAAGAGCTGAGCCAGTGTATTGATGAGTACTGATGGCAGGTTTTTCAGGTGTTCGAATCTGACCTTGTCTGGGCTGGTGCTTCTTTACGGATGAAATGGAGTGTTGGATATCATCTATTACATAGATGAATTGTAAATAGTTTTCTTCATCCATTACACTTATAAAACAAACTCATCATACTAATAGTTAATATTAATTTGCTCGAGGTAAAGGCCCTCCCGTTGATCGTCGATTTGCTCGAGCGAGCCCAGTAACGTCTCCATTGGAGACTTTGTTGTTACTGTGTCTGGCATATCAAATACTCTCGGTAGCTTGCCGGGCTCTCCGAGAGGGGCGGAGGAATCGAACTCGGGTCGGCCATGTTGGCCGCTTGTAAGGCGAACGCCCTACCCGCTGTGCTATCGCTCCAGCCCTATTAATATCTATACTTAATTTTTAAGGAAAAAGAACAGAGATATCAAATTATTTCCTTAATATTAGATTGTTGTTACTGTGTCTGGCATATCGAATACTCTCGGTAGCTTGATTGTCATAGACTCTAAATATGATGCTTTCTAAATATATTGTTGAAATGATAAATAAGGTGTCACTAACTGCAATTTATCAGGACTTAAAATTTTCTGAGTTCAGATTATAAGCTAGTTTATTTTTTGTTCTTTGAAATTTTTTAAAGAATAAAAAAAACTAGTTTATATTCTGAACTCAGAAAAAGTTAGTGACACCTTATTCATCATTCTAACAATATATTTAGAAAGCATCATATTTATTCTTTGACATTTTTGAGAGCTGGAGTGATAGCACAGCAGGTAGGGCATTTTCTTTGCACACAGCCGACCTGAGTTCAACTCCTTCATCCCTATGGGAGAGCCCGGCAAGCTACTGAGAGTATCCCGGCCGTGAGGCAGAGCCTGGCAAGCTTCCAGTGATGTATTCAATATGCTAAAAACAGTAACAACAAGTCTCACAATGGAGATGTTACTGGTGCCTGCTCAACCAAATCGATGAACAACGGGAGAACAGTGCTACAGTGAAATTTTTGAGGTTTTGTGATTTATAACACTGTTATTGTTTCCCAGCACATAATTCCGATATTGCATACATCACTGTGTAGCCACCGCCCTCCCCCAAGTACCACAATGCCTCGCCCTGTAAAGGTCCAATCCAACTAACGTAATTTTGTTGATCAATTTTTCTAATGTGTTGGTTTTTAGCCACTTGTTACTAGCTGGTGTATAACTTAATGTCCTAAATATGAGTGAAATTGTTCTGTATCGATCCCTTTCTTTTTGACTAACTTCACTCAGCAAGATAATTTCCAATTCCATTCACACCAGTGAAAAATCACATTATTTTGTTCTTTCTTAGAGATGAATAGTATTCCATTGGTATATACACCAAGACCTCTTGATCATTCACCTAGAGTTGGGGATTTGGGTTGTCTTCATAGATCATAAACCAGTTTAATACTCAGATTTGTGGGAGAGGAGTAGGCATTTGATTAATACTCTTTCCTCCAAAAATGAAAAGAAGAAATTGGAGGGTTAGAAGAAAAAGAAAAAGAGAGAATAAAGATAAAAGACAGGAGGTGAGGGGAAAGAGGAGAAGGGTTAGAGAACAAGAGAGTGGACCAAAAAATGGGAATAAGATGAAGTATATAGTGATTGAAGTAAGAAGAGATAAAAGAGGTCAAAGCAGATGGAGAGTATCCAAGTTTTTAATTGAATAGTAGCTACTATTACTTTTTGAGAGGTAATTTAGAATTGTGAATGTGTTGAAATTTTTTTCCATCTTTTTATGTGGATATCACAGAGTCCTTTTACCCCTCGAAGGACTGTAATTTAGAATTGTGATTGTTTTGAACATTTTTTTCATTTTTGTATGTTGATATCTTAGAGTATTTTTACCCCTTGGGGGACTGTACCTCCCAGAGCTAGGTAGGTCCTAGAAAGAGTAAAAGACTAGCTTGAAAGTGTTTTATATATATGTGGACATCAATTATTTTTATTCTCATACTTGAGCTATTTCTCTGTCCTGATCACCCCAGAGCCAAGTACCAGAAAACTAAGGACAACTTCTCTACCAAAGTGTCCA